CTTAAATTCCAAATCCTATTCCAACTAGTATTATGAATTAAAATAATAATCTTTAAATAACTTATATCTATAAACATATATATATATATAAATATATATTCCTTCCATAATTAACTCATTAGTTAATTAAATCATATATACTTATAAATATCAATAAATATATATCTATATATATCTTTACATAACAATTATTAATTAATTATATTTATATATAATTATATATATATATATATATATATATAATTGATACAAAAGTGATCATTTAAATAATTAAATAACCACGGACCTTCATTAATTAACCCAATAAGGTTTCATACAAGCCCAAGACCACATCTTTTGGTCCAACTTTCCTTAAGCCCAATCCAATTAATTTAAATAAATAAGATAATTAATTAAATACAGAAATTAAAATACTAATTACATGAAGCACATAAACAAACAAGAATTTACAACTAAGTCATATAATACCAATAAAATCAACACACCAATAATTCAATCAATAATCAACCACACAAACAATCAATCATCATACATAATCACGAAATATAACTTAATTAAAATAAGATAATTAATCTAGCACTCAATAAAATAAAATAAATCATTAAAAAATAAAATAAAATAATTAATCCTAATTAATAAATCTTTTAAAATTATCGGGTTATTACATTCTTCCCCCCTAACAAACGGAATTCCGTCCTCGGAATTCACAAATCCATGAAAAAAACTTTGATTATTTAATTTCAAATTTCATTATTCCTTTTATCCGTGTGGAAATTAACCCATCCACACATATTCATTATTAGCAGACACATCACGTAATTAGCTAATTCCATATTTATATAATTGATAAATATAAGTACACACTAGAGACTCTCACTGGACTAAAGCAGTTTCAACCGGATAGTGGGTATCTCATGTAAAACGCACACAAAGGTGGTTACGAATCCTCCTTCTACCAGAGCCCACACATCCTTAAACCCAGCTACCCATCTCAATCGGCAATATACGCCTCCATCCTAACCACTGATCCTGAGACTCAAGCTTATATCATGGCCCATATATGTGTGTGTGTGTATGTATATATATATATATATATATATATATATATATATATATTATATATATATATATAATCCATTATATCCACATAAAAGTAAACTATCCAACCATATTATTTCAATGGCATACCATCCAACTATTCCGTTGACCTGACACGAATAAGTAGGACTTAACGCTATGGTTAATCCGTTCCCTTATAAATATATAGGTAGGACTTAACTTCTTTGGTTAATCCGTCCCTGAAATGCCACCGTCCCATACCGGTGTATTAAACCATACCATTCATAAATAAATAGGTAGGACTTAACTATTCCGTTAATCCGTCCCTAAAATACCTCCATATTATTTTATTGGTGCATAAATCCATAAAACCCATACTTCAAAATTAGGGGAAGCCTCAACGATTTACCAATACCTTCTAAATCGGTGTCTTACCATTTTCCTGATAAGACTCAATGATTTACCATTAGGACACACTAACGGACCGAATATAGAATACAATGAATCCTAAACTTAAGCTCTAAGTAAAAGAGTACACAACGCGGAAGTCACACAACGAAAGACACCCTAGGGACACTTGAACCTGGAGTGCTCTGATACCAACTGTGATACCCCCTAATTTTGGAACACGGATTGATCAAGTCCGCGCACAAAATCAAGGGATATCAAAACAATTTAAGTATTTAACAAGCACAGAATACAAAGATGAATAATAAAGAATAAATAAACCGCTGAAGAAAACTAATAAATAAATATTACTTAATGATTCTCCAACAATTACAATTCGGAAATCCCATAACTCAAGGACCCCTTAAACATTATCCAATAATCCAATACTATTTAAAAGTACACAAGATGAATAGACGAATGACAGTCTCCCAGCTGCGGATCCTCAACCTCGAGACTGGAACCTCTAATAACCTGAAAAATAAATCGTGAGTTAAACCCTACGAGCAAGTTCACTCTACCAGGCCTCTGAAAACCAATAAGCAGATCATCTCTGATCAAAACCAAACCTAATAAAGTTTTAACTTTAATAAAGCACGATATACATGTCTATATATAATTATATATACTATACTAATCACATCCATTAATAGGTTTATTAAATTTCCATACCTATTAAATAATTATTAAAATAATATTCATACCTAGACCAATCTACCATTTCATTTTATAAAAACTCTTTTGACCTTAATCCCATCCTAATCAGTTGTCTAATCATTTAAACAACAAATTATAATAAAAGAAATACTCTATTTAATCCCAACCCGATAATGATTTTAATTATTTAAATCACATATCCAAAATCCAAGTTTTGACAAATCATCCACGTCTTCCCCAATATTATTTTATTAATGTAAAATAATACACTAACCAGTAAGTACTAAACTATTCTTATTTAAGAATATCTAACCTTAATCCAATCCATACATACAACAACCATAGATGATATTTTAATCATCTAACACATAACAACGTAATTATGCTTTGGCAAATCAACCATGCCATTGTAAATATTTTTATTTATATATTGGCAATTCAACCATGCCTCCATAAGTATATTTATTTATACATTGGCAATTCAACCATGCCTCCGTGTATGTACATTTATACATTGGCAATTCAACCATGCCTCCACAGGTATATTTATTCATACATTTAATTAGCAATTCATCCATGCTTTCCATATATGTATTCTATTCATACAAATATTTAGGTAATATATTTAATCATTTGACAATTCATCCATGCCCACACTTTAACCATGAATTAACTTTAAAATTAATAATACGCTAAATCATACATAGCCATCACATGCATATTATACGCATATCATTAATTTAACAACCAGCCTATTAAGATATGCCAAATAAGAATGATAATATTAATCATCTTAAATGATTTATATATATATATACCTACACATATGTTATTTAATGTATATATGTGTTTAACACATTCTTTAATAATCCTTGATTATTTAAAATCAATATACATACATACATACATATATATATATATTCATCCTTCCATACAACTCATAGACAAATTATATATACCCATATATAAATAATTATATATATATATATATATACACTTCCTTCCATAACAAATTATTAATTTATTATATTTACACAAATTAGTACAACTAAATATGTCAGAAATAGTTTCCTTTAAATACTCCATACCGGTTTAAATAGTTTTCCGACACCGTCTCACTAAAACGTAAATATCTCTTATTAGGATAAGAATCTGATAATGAAATTGGTACCATTGGAAAGAGGACGAAAAATCCTTGAATTTGAGCTCAAGAATGACCCAGTTTCGATTTAAAATGACTAAGTTATGACCGTTTTAATTTTATGTCACAAACAGGCAAAATAATTGGCTGAGCTCAAACACTACTGTGAGCGCGCCCACACTTAATTAGCTCACTTGAGCTCACACAAACGCACCCACACCAGATTAGCTCACTTGAGCTCACATGTATGCACCCACACCAGATCAATCTTCTGTTGACCAAACTTAATCCATGGTCCAGATTCACATGTGCACTCTTTTGTGTACACCGCAATGCACCGAATCATTCCACTTATATCTAAACTATTCCAATGGCCCAGATTAGTGGTGTAACCTCTTACCATGCACCGTCCTACACCAGATTACTACCCTATTGTTGCGCCCACCTTACAAACGCCGCCTCCAGTGTTGTATATATATATATATATATATTATAAATTATCTATATAATTTTGCCAAATTAAGATAGAAAATAATTCTTGAATAATTCCAAAAATATAAAACACATTCTAAAATTAATCTAAAAATTCCAGAAAATTCTCATAAATGCTAGAAACACTAATTAACCCTCTTGGGTCTAGATCCAGCCTATCGATTGATGTAAACAAAATATACAACACATATATAAAACAATAAAAATCTAAAATTCCAAAAATAAAATATAATAATTCATATTTTTAAGATTCCGTTCTAACCATCATTTAATCAATAAATTTAATCTTAAATTTTGATACTCAAAGTGAAATCCTTATGAGTTCTAAGAGGAAAGTTAGAGAAGAACTCGCCTGAAGGTTTCGAAACGAAACCGACGCTTTAAGCTTTAATTATCTCTTCCAATTCCGACGTCCTCCTTTTCAGATCCGACCTCCTCCTTGTCAGCCCTTCTTCTTCCTCCTTCTCTGTCTGTTTTATTTTTCTAACGTGTAAAACCTTTAACCCTAAAGCCTTATGTGTATTTTTATACACCTTAAATTCCAAATCCTATTCCAACTAGTATTATGAATTAAAATAATAATCTTTAAATAACTTATATCTATAAACATATATATATATAAATATATATTCCTTCCATAATTAACTCATTAGTTAATTAAATCATATATACTTATAAATATCAATAAATATATATCTATATATATCTTTACATAACAATTATTAATTAATTATATTTATATATAATTATATATATATATATATATATATATATATATATAATTGATACAAAAGTGATCATTTAAATAATTAAATAACCACGGACCTTCATTAATTAACCCAATAAGGTTTCATACAAGCCCAAGACCACATCTTTTGGTCCAACTTTCCTTAAGCCCAATCCAATTAATTTAAATAAATAAGATAATTAATTAAATACAGAAATTAAAATACTAATTACATGAAGCACATAAACAAACAAGAATTTACAACTAAGTCATATAATACCAATAAAATCAACACACCAATAATTCAATCAATAATCAACCACACAAACAATCAATCATCATACATAATCACGAAATATAACTTAATTAAAATAAGATAATTAATCTAGCACTCAATAAAATAAAATAAATCATTGAAAAATAAAATAAAATAATTAATCCTAATTAATAAATCTTTTAAAATTATCGGGGTATTACACCAGCGCTCAAAAGCGCTGGTAAAAGCCTTAAAAATCGCTGGTAATTGAATTACCAGCACTTAACCAGCGCTTCTTTAAAAGCACTGGTAAATCCAGTGTCGGTAGGCCTTTACCAGCGCTTTTGGAAAAGCACTGGTAAAGAGCCTTTACCAGCGCTTTTGGAAAAAGTGCTGGTAAAGGAATATTTGAATTTTTTTTTTTTTAATATATTTTTTTCCCCCCTATGCCAGCGCTTTTTGGAAAAGCGCTGGTAAAGGGTTATTTGAAATTTTTTTCTTTTAATATTTTTTTTCCCTATGCCAACGCTTCTTAAAAGAGCATTGGTAAAATTATTTACATTTTTTTTTTCCCATTATTGTATTTGGAAAAAATTTCTTCACGGCTACTAAATGCATCCTAACACAAGTCAATATAAAAATACCATCCAAATTGTTTTTACAAACAACTACAAGTTAACCCTGCCAATATGAAAAATACCATCGAAATTGACTACTAATACCACCACAAGTTAAGTTAGTAAAAAATGTATACTAATACAACCACAAGTTAACCTGCCAATATGAAAATACCATCCAAATTGTCTAGATAAAGGTATTAAATGTCACACAAAAAGAATTAAGAATTTTTAACAAATGTAATACAAGTTTTTCAAAAAGAACCCATCCAAGGCGAAGGAAATTCAAAAAGCACAGCCACGACCCCATCTTCAACTTTAACTTCAACTTCAACAAGTCTTCTTGCCCATTTGATTTGAATTATCCTACATTTTTTTATAAATTCATTAAGCTCATATTATAATAAATGAAAATTTAACATATATATAAGTGAAATTAAAAGTTGATAACCTTAACTGAATTGGCATCACAACTAAAAAATGGATTTGGGGATACTCTAGGAGGAGCATTTAAAGAATCAGAATCCTTCAAAATAACAAAACAAAATACATGAAATCTTGGCATAAGTAAACATATATTTAATAAAGAGTAAAACTAATAATAAATATACCTGTCCACTACAATTTTGTTCTTGCATCTGCATTAGCATAGCCACCTGTTGTTGTAAATTTTTCAACTTGTCGTCGTACTTGGCTCGTAAATTTTCTAACTTGTTGTCATAGTCGGCTTGCATTTTTGAAATCGTCTCCTGCAACTCTACACGTGTAGCATGTGCCTCCTCCTGAGATTTTTTAGCATTATTAATCAGTTCAGCTTTACTAGGAGAGGGCCCCCAAACATCGCTTGGTGTAGGCCGAAGCCAAGCATCCGCACACGACCAGTTCTCTCTTCTCCCCTCACAATGGAGAACAAATCATTGGAGCTGCCAATAGGTGAGTCAGAGTAACTTTTTTGAAGTTCTCTTATGTTTTCCTGGCATTAAAAAAAAAAGTTTGAACTACCATGACATACTACTATGAAACATCCAGAACTGAAAACCCTAGATTCTAAATAAAGCATAAAAGAACCGAAATCCCAACAAGCTATGAACATGTAATGCTTAAATATACATGTGCATGTATAATATATACCTAAGCTTTCATGATAAAAACAAAAGGATTTAAATGAAGTAAATAGAGAAGAAAAAAAAATCAAATTTTTATCAAATTAGTAGTTCTTTTAATACATTGTGCTAAGTATACACTTAATAAAAAATGTAATCGAGTCGTTATAGAAGAGGAAAAATCAAATTAGTAGTCTTTTGAGGTACCAAACATTGTGCTAAAGTATACAATATGATTAAAGAAATTGCCAACTTATGAGTATTGTTGTTTATGTCTAAATTTGAATGTCCCATCTAATTGAAGAATCTTATATAGGTAATTGGACAAAAGACTTGGTGTGCAATTATTATTATAGGACACATAATTCTATGTCTTTTATTTAATTAAATTCACTAGGCAAAAGTTTTTGCACCTAATATTATATTTTACTTTTTCCCTAGGTTATCATTTGTAGTTTCCTAAGCATTTTCTGTCCTAAAATGGGTAAAAATGTAGAAACCAAATGTGCTTCCTGATTCAGTAGAAAATAATTAGTATAAGATATCTATAATGCAATAGAAGAAAAAGCAAGTAAAATTGTTAGCAGAATAATTTCTCTGGATGCATTTATTCTTCCAAACACTCACTGTCCATAGAAAGAAGGAAAAAAAGGTGAAGGGTGAAATTGAATTTGAGTAATTTACTAAGGAGATGTGAAACCTCTTCTGTAATTGTGTTTCTTTCTGCCTTTAAGTTTGGTATACTTTAAGGTAAATCAACATAATTTCTCAGTGATCATGATTCGTGTGTGTGTGAGAGAGAACTACTAATTTGATTTTCATGCCAAGCTTTTTGAAGATGGAAATCTTTTCAGAATTGAAAAAAAAAAAAGAATCTAAATTGGATTAGAAATCTGTAGAGATTGAATCTGAAACAATTTTTATCAACATGCCAAGCTTTTTGAAGATGGAAATCTTTCCAGAACTGAGAAAAAAGAAAAAAGAAAAAAAGAATCTGAATTGGATTAGAAATCTGCAGAGATTGAATACAATTTTTACCAACATGCCAAGTTTTTTGAAGATGGAAATCTTTTCAGAACTGAAAAAAAAAAAAAGAAAAAGAATCTGAATTGGATTAGAAATCTGCAGAGATTGAATCTGAAACAATTTTTATCAACATGCCTAGCTTTTTGAAGATGGAAATCTTTTCAGAACTGAAAAAAAAAGAAAAAAAGAATCTGAATTGGATTAGAAATCTGCAGAGATAAAATCTGAGACAATTTTTATCAACATGCCAAGCTTTTTGAAGTTGGAAATCTTTTCAGAACTGCAAAAAAAAAAAAATAAAGAATCTGAATTGGATTAGAAATCTGCAGAGATTGAATCTGAAACAATTTTTACCAACATGCCAAGTTTTTTGAAGATGGAAATCTTTTCAGAACTGAAAAAAAAAAAAAAAAAAAAAAAAAGAATCTGAATTGGATTAGAAATCTGCTGAGATTGAATCTGAAACAATTTTTATCAACATGCCAAGCTTTTTGAAGATGGAAATCTTTTCAGAACTGAAAAAAAAAAAAAAAAAAAGAATCTGAATTGGATTAGAAATCTGCAGAGATTGAATCTGAAACAATTTTTATCAACATGCCAAGCTTTTTGAAGATGGAAATCTTTTCAAAACTGAAAAATGAAAAAAAGAAAAAAAAGAATCTGAATTGGATTAGAAATCTACAGAGATTGAATCTGAATCAATTTTTATCAACATGCCAAGCTTTTTTGAAGATGGAAATCTTTTCAGAACTGAAAAAAAAAAAAAAAAAAAGAATTTGAATTGGATTAGAAATCTACAGAGATTGAATCTGAAACAATTTTTACCAACATGCCAAGTTTTGAAGATGGAAATCTTTTCAGAACTGAAAAAAAAAAAAAAAAGAAAAAAAAAGAAAAAAAGTAATCTGAATTGGATTAGAAATCTGCAGAGATTGAATCTGAAACAATTTTTATCAACATGTTAAGCTTTTTGAAGATGGAAATCTTTTCAGAACTGAAAAAAAAAAAAAAAAAAGAATCTGAATTGGATTAGAAATCTGCAGAGATTGAATCTGAAACAATTTTTATCAACATGCCAAGCTTTTTGAAGATGGAAATCTTTTCAGAACTGAAAAAAAAAAAAAAAAAGAAATCTGAATTGGATTAGAAATCTACAGAGATTGAATCTGAAACAATTTTTATCAACATGCCAAGCTTTTTGAAGATGGAAATCTTTTCAGAACTGAAAAAAAAAAAAAAAAAAAAAAATCACAGCAAGAACTTTATAGATCATGAACAAGTGTTTAGTGGCCTTTACATAGCTTGTATATAATATTTGAAGTTGTCTACATTCAAAAGACTATTGCGACAATATATGAGTAACAAATTAACACAAACAACAAACAACAAACAACAAATAGCAAATACTTCTTCTCCACAACACAAATCAATCAACAAGAAGCCTCCACATACAATGATCCCATACTCTCACGCTTTTCAACAAATACAAGAAAGTAAATTGCCTCCACACGGGCCGATGATTTAAAAATTGGTCACTTCAAGGCACGTGACCCCCTAATACAGCGTAAAGAGTTTAAAAATTGGTCACTTCAAGGCACATGACCCCCTTTTTGCAAAATGGAAGCGTGAAAACTTACAATCATCTCCGAAGTAGCAGCATTAGTAGCTTTGCCATCCTTATTTACATGTGTGCGGATGAATAAATCTGCACGAGAAAGCTGAATACCTTCGTCTTCCTCAATCTATAAAAGAATACATTGTGATATATATTATTTACCATTAACATTTATAATCATTCAACGACATAAGAATTGAAATAATTTATATTTTCCATAAAAACTTCAACTAACCTCGGCAGAAACACGTGCAAAGCTTTTTGTCTCTGTAGTATGCATCATTATCTGCTTCCCACGACATTCTTTATTTTTTTTGCTGACCTCCTGCAAAAAGTGAGAAAAAGTAAAAGTTCTTTGAGTAAAGAACATTCCACCTAAAATAATGACTGAAAGCAGGTAAACTATAAATTCAACTCATTGATTTCAAAAAACATTGTGATAGATGGAGGATTACCTTCGCTATAGGCGTACCCCAATGCCTAACCAAAAATTCCCAATGCTCCTTTTCAACATTAGGTGGTGGGTTTGCCAATCTTTCTTCATCTGTATCCCTAATTGAGTAGTATTCATTTTTCCACTCACACTTATACCCCCTCCATTTTTTTCCTATGGAGGATATTGTCCACTGTTTTGTCATGATTCCCACATTATATTTTCCCTAAAAATGTGATAATTGTTGTATGTTAGTCCACTTTTTCCATAAAAATTATTTTAATGTTATTGAAGGGTTTTACCTTTACAATGTTCAACATATCCTCCTTCAGCCGTTTAGGCATCTCCTACCAAGTTTTGTAGCACAAAGGAGCTAATTCACCCTTCCGGGCAAGTGTTCCCAGATAATTAGTATATGTACCACTCCTAGGACCGATCGGCTGTCCAAACTTATTAACCCTAAACAAAAATTAACAATTGTAGATGTTTAGTACAAAAATAAAGATAGAAATCCTTTTTTCTCCTTCATATTGAATATAGTCTGATTATGTAAACTATATAAGATGATCTATATATATATGTACCTTAAAGGGAATAAGGTTTTCGCGTCTATGACATTCTTGCATCGTGTCGGACCCCGTCTCTTCTTCAGCGGTGGTTGGGATGATTTTGAAGTTGAAGCTTCGGTATTTTTTTCACTCACTTTTTCCACTTCACTAACCGTTCGTTTCATTGTCAACTTATTATTTATCCTTCCTAGAAAAGCAAACAAAAAAGTGAGAATTCAGTTAAGAGAATGCAATCAAATTGTTAAAAAAAGACAATAAAATTATAATTCAACAAAACATCTAAACATCAGCACGGGCAATTTAATAACTATGACACAGTGGTAATTATTGACTCTTATTCCAGGTCAAAGTATTAAGTTGGATCCAATGCAACCGATTACAAGCCAATCTGTAATGCCATCGAGAATCGATGAATAAAATAGCTAATGGACGATAGATATATAGTTGAGCAAGATCAACAATTCAGTGGATTGTCCCTCATTGGACTAAGTCTCTGGTTTTTCCCTGTTTATGGTCTTTCACATGAAAATATTGTGTCCATACTATATTTTATGCATGAATATTGCGGTTGTGTTGAAAGAATTCAAAACCTAACGGATATAAACAAAAATCCAAATCATAATAATCATAACTAACTAGCTAAATTTTAAAGAGTTTAATTGTAATTCAAAAAGTTACTTTGTTGCAAATTAATATCCATAAGACCTATTCATTCTCTCTCTAGGTCTAATTTACCAATATGCTTTGACGCATCAGAGTCTTGGGCAACAATCTCACGTACTCACAACTTTCTTTTTCCTTTTCACTTTCCGTTAATGTCAACATGCTCAGCACATGCATCCATTGTAAAACAACATCCCTATAAAACACTATTTTGTATGTTCCATCATTTTACATACCATCGCAAAACTGACTGCATCGATATAGAGCCAAAAATGGCTCTTCTTTTCAATCTTTTCACAAAAAAAAAAAAAGCGCTGGTATCGTAACACCAATACCAGCGCTTTTCCTTAAAGCGCTGGTACTGTAACACCTACACCAGCGCTTCAGTAGAAGCGCTGGTACTGTATCACCTATACCAGCGCTCTTCCCAAAAGCGCTGGTAAAAGACTAATCTATTGTAGTGTAAGGAATAATTTTAAATGAATTTATAAAAAATTAAAAAGCAGGAAAAGCAATCTTCAATATCTTCAAATAATATTAGCCAATCAAACGCAAGTTATCCCCTTCTTGATTGCTAATGCAAAGGAAACCGGGACAAAGGCTGAAGTATAATTGTCACACTGTCAGCAATAGCAAGAACATAGCAAGCTTAGTGTCTTGTAGCATACAAAAACAAAAATTTTTGTTCAAGTAGGAGGCAAAAGATCTTTAACTTCCATTTCAATATTCTCTCAATGTTTGGTTTTCAAAGTTTCAGAGAGTTAAGAACCCTTTTTGCAATTTGCAGTGGGTTGGTCAGTCACTTGAGGGGTGGGGTGATTCGCTTCTACGTTTAGGGAAGAGAAGACAACAGAAAGTGAAATTTTTTGAAGACAACATAATAGACCTCCAACCTCAATCTAATCTGTTTAGAAAACTGGTCATAGAGCTGGTCATCTAACTTAGCATTAGTTCAAATAAGAAATGATCATTACTTATAAGATAATGTTATGATTATCCTAAACAGGTCTATGAATTAGTTTATGGTCTCTGAACTTTGTTGAAGTGTATTTTTTTAATAATAATAATTAAAAATAAAAATAAACCTTAATTGAAATATGTACTTATTTTGTGACTCGGGTGGAAGCCATAATATCACAACATCCAGGAGTATCTGGTGTAGTTGTTGTTGGACTTCCAGACACTCGATTTACGGAGATGGTTGTTGCTTGTATTCAAATAAGAGACAATTGGAATTGGATCAATTTGGGATCTCATATCTCAGCAAAGAACATTGAATTTTGCTTATCCAGTGAGATCCTCCGGCACTTTTGTAAAAAGAAGAACTTAACTAGGTATTTCTATTAATCTTTATACTATATCAATGCTTACCTTCAGCCTTTTTATTTCTCCTTCTTTATGATATAGGTATTCATAAAGTTTTCTATTTTTTTTTTTTATTTTTTTTTTACAGGTTTAAAATACCCAAAACTTTTGTTATATGGAAGAAGTCATTTCCATTGAAAACAACTGAAAAATTAATAAGAGATCAAGTTAAAAGAGAAGTTATATCTCATGTTCAATATCTACCTAGCAATCTATAACTACAATTTATTTATTTATTCGATTAATTAATTAATTTCATCTAAGAAGTGGGTGTGGAACATTAAAAAATAGTAATAATAATATTATTATTAATTTTATCTACCGTAAATTCCAATTCCTATTCCTATTCCAATTTCCAATTCCAATTTGGAATTTGGTATTATTATAAAAAGGTTGTGTTATTTGCTAACACTCCTGGCTTTCTCAACTCTTTCCCAATCCAAAAACCCTAGAAGAAGGTGCAGGAAGGAAGGATGGTCTCAAAAACTCTCTACTTTCGCATGCAAACTTCAATGGATAATTACTGGTACAATTCTTCAACGGAGAATGTAGGGATTGAATGGTACCATGTTAATTTATTAAGCAACTACGACTAAGACGATTGGGACAGTGACTAAAACTTCGACCCCAACAGAAAACAGAGAACAAAGAAAACTAAGAAGAACAGAGAAGAAAAGCAGCCGGTGCCAATCCAAGCTAAAGTTTAAGAGTTAAAGTTTTCTCAATGTTGGAACACAAAAAAGAAAGAAAGAAAGAAATTACCTGAAAAACGAAATCAGACAAAACTTGTTCCAACAATCCTAGCTAAGATCGATTATTTCCTCCTGTACAAAGAAAAAAAAATTGAAAACAACAATCTTAAGTACAGAATGAGATCAAATAGTGGTTGCAGATCATTGAAATTAGGAGGATGCGTTGTCGCGTGAAATCAAACCCACCTGATCTCAAATCAAACCCACTCGAAGCACTTCTTCCCCTTCACGTGAAATTAGGAGGATCTTGTTTACTGCTTTGGTTGTTTCCTCTGAATTGCTGTTTCTGCATTCCCGGCTAGATGATGGCTAGATGATGTCTGGAATATGAATGGGAAGTGGAGAACAGCTGAAAAATTAGGGCTATTACAAAATGAAAGGATTAGGGCTTTGCAAAATGAAATGGGAAAGTGGAGAATGCAATGTTAATTCCCCACAAAACGACGTAGTTTTAGGGCCCAAATATTCTCTATATATAAAATCAACGGAGGGAAAAAATGGAGGGAAGGGAAAAAATGGGGACACCTATACCAGCGCTCCTAAAAGAAACGCTGGTATTACACATATACCAGCGCTCCTACAAAAAGCACTGGTACTATTACCATTACACCTATACCAGCGCTTTTTTAAAAAAAAAGCGCTGGTATTACACCTATACCAGCGCTCCTAGGAGCGCCGGTAATATTTAGACCTATACCAGCGCTCCTATAAAAAGCGCTGGCACTATTACCATTACACCTATACCAGCGCTTTTTTAAAAAAAAAGCGCTGGTATTACACCTATACCAGCGCTCCTAGGAGCGCCGGTAATATTTAGACCTATACCAGCGCTCCTATAAAAAGCGCTGGCACTATTACCATTACACCTATACCAGCGCTTTTAAAAGAAGCGCTAGTATTACACCTATACCAGCGCTTCTATTAGAAGCGCTGGTAATATTTAGACCTATACCAGCGCTCCTACAAAAATGCTGGTACCATTATATGTATACCAGCGTTCCTATAAAAAGCGCTGGTACCTAATATGTTGTAATGACCTCAAGAATCACTTGATTCAGAGTCCGGATGAAGAAGATATAGCTAACGGAAGAAAAAAGGGTAAAACGGTAAAAGGAGCCAACCTAAGAACATCTAACCAGTTAGGAGGCCAAAAATAGAGGTTCCAATTCTGCCCATGCACATGTAACTGGTTACAAGATCCTTTCTAACCGGTTAGGAGGCAAAAATAGAAAGTTCAACAAAAACCTGGCAGTAGGGGTTTTTCGGTAAAAAGTGGGTTTTTGAGGCCCTAAATGACATTTTCTGGAAAAACACAAAGAAGAAACCCCCCTCAAAATCAAGTTTTCTACTTGATTTTGCAGAATAAAATGAAAAAAAACTCACTGTGAAATACCCAAAATGCCCCTCCATGAAATCAAGTCTTGAAGGTCAAAAAGCTGCTAAAATGTAAAACTAAAAGCTGAACTTTGCGATGGATTTTTCGGTACCAAGATGACATTTTCTGGAAAAACACGAAGAAGAAACCCCCCTTCAAATCATGTTTTCTAACTGACCATGTCAAGATCAGAATTAATTTCCTAAAGAAAAACCCCAAAATGCCCTTAGACCAGATTATGCAAATAAAATGTAAAATGAGTTCATAGGAGGCTCATTTCACCAAGGAAGGAGTTTTTCTTGAAACGATCATGCACGCAAACGTAACTTACCTATTAGGACATGCTACAATGATCCATGGCTTAAAAATATCGCCGATGCAAAATACGACCCCCCCCCCCCCCCGACGGCCAAAATGACAAAAAAAAGCTTGGAACGAAAACTTGGAACTCAAAATTATGAAATGGTTTCAAAATGCCGTTTGGCCCTTGGCCACACTTCATACATAATTAATAAATGCTAATGGATGAATTTCATACACAATGCACGCTCTAGTGCAAAATAGCATACTAAAACGCATGACTTTTCATATATTCTCATTAAATGCAAGATTTAACATCCATGACATATATGTAATTCCAAAAGAAGTTTGGCCCTTGGCCTCATGTCATATACATAAAATGAGAATAAAAAAGTGTGTTTAGGCACACATTACAAGTTTAGAATCAAATATACAAATTTGACAAATAAGGCTACAAATGACATTTCAAGCCAACCTTTACAAAAATGGAAATCTTCAAGTCCACAAACCATCCAAGCGTAATGAGAATCTCAACTTTGATTCCTGTACCTGAAAAATGTCCCCACTACGTGAGTGAGTAACATAAAGCTACTCGTAGGAAATGAGCATGCATCGACCTAGCATTTTACAATTTTATCACCTTAAGGTGAAATATGTTAAAGGGGTTCATGCCACCTAACGTCTATGTCAAGATGAGACTCAGGGAGCATCCTAAGCTACCTTAGAACATTTCTAGCATAAATCACATCATTCATGCAATTCAAACAATATAGAAGCATGCTATATAAAGCAACAAGATATAAATTCTCAAAGTTATCAACTTGAAATCTAAAATACGAAAATAACTAAATATAGCAATTTAGTATAATTAGAATTTCTAATACCACACATCAAAACATAGATTCTCTAAGTTATCAACTTGAAATTTAAAATTGCGAAAATGACAAAAGTGGTCATGCCACCTAACGTCTATGTTCCAAATGGATCTATAGGATCATTCATAAGCTACATTTGAACATTTAGCATAAATGTACTTAACAACATTAAATCGCAATTAACTAAAATTACAAGTCACAATTAAGCATGATTGTCAACTTGGAATTGAATGCGAAATCAAATTTTGGAAGACTTGGACATCAAATCTTGGATAATGCCAAAAACTACGGTTATTCTGGCATTAACTCGCTGGGAATACCACCCTAAGTGCGCACTATATTGTAGGGAGCTCTTTATCTCCCGTACTAAATTCAAACTCTAGCCATGTCACAGTAACAATGTCTCAAGTGACTCCAAAATAAATAAATTAACAACTCATATACGTATTATAGTACACGAAACTACCTTCATGCACAAGTAGGTTGAAACCACACAATACATGCTCTAAATGCCCAACTACTATAGGATGACAATGTCGAATCTTAAGAGTGTGATTCGTTACACGCTATAATAACATCACATGTCCAATCTTCAGTGTGCGATTCGTTACACGCTATAATAATATAATTCAATATTGAAAACATGAACTGAAGAATCTAATAGAAATCCAAAATCATGATTTAGATATATAATCAATGTCAAACATATGATTAAATCATTAACTCAATAGAAACGAAAACTAATTACATAACCTAATTAATTTCTCTAAGTTTCCAATCTAAATCAAATGATCTCTAATTAACACATGTTAAACAATATAGCATGGTCATTGCGTATACTAATTCAAAAACTTAATTAGACCATTTGAACAATAAAATGAAATTTAATTAAATCATGATAATCAAATCCCTAAATTTTAAAACAACATCAAATGGTCCCAAATTAACATATGCTAGTATACAAGTCCTAGTCATCACAATTATCAAGTTAAAAACTTAATTAGGCCAATGGAACCATTAAATAGATTTTAATTAAAATCTCTAAATTTTCATACTTATCTAAATGCTCTCAAATTAAAGCATGTTAAAGAACATGCCAAGACTTAACTTAAAAGCATATCATAAGTTAATTTCATACAAGGTACATCCATGAGAATTAAACTTTCACAAAAGATAATTATTAAATAAAAAGTGCAATTCTTATTCAAATAATTCCAATTTAATATATGTTAACAGACATATCAAAACATAATTTATCATCATGCCACAATTCAATTCTAAACTATATACATCCTTGAAATTTAAATCTTATACAAAGAAATAAATATTACTAATTTTCTAGATTTGATACAAGGCATGCAAACTAGTTGTATAATCATGGAAAATACTCAATACAACACATACAAAATCTTAAAACACCCCCTACCTCAATTTGAGATGAAATCTCAAAATCCCCACCAAAATGAAATCGCTCCGAATCAGACGAAACTTCTAGGTTTTGTCGGGGACAACACGATGAACAAGAACCCCAAGGAAGCCCCATGAAAAACACAACTTGATTTTAAACCCGAACTCATAAAATTGCCAAAACGAGATTCCAATCGGTTGGAATCGAAGGCCTCGCCAAGGCGAACATTAAACACAAAGGCACTAGGGTATCTATCACGAGGGAAGGGTTTCAAAAGAGGAGAAGAAGCATGGCAGCCCTTTGGGCTGTTAGGGCCGGCCATGGGAGAGAGACAAGGGCTTTTAAAAATTTTGTCTGTCACCTCCTATTTATAGAATTTCAAAAAGTACCCCGAATTGGCCCCGCCGGGTCCGAAAAAGTGAAATTTGAGCAAACGCGCTCAAACGGTGAAACTCCATGAACAAAAGGAACCAAAATGAGAAAATATGAACAACAGAAGGAACGGCGTTGAAAACTTAGTCTCAAGCAGAAAGATATGCCCCGAACAAGTTCAACGGCAACTGGGCCAAAAACCTTAAAACTGGAGAAAAATGACCAGAAGAAAATTCTAAGAGTACAAGACTCAAAAAAAAGTGAAAATGAATCCCGTACGAGGATCGAGGCTCAAAACATGGCATTTAGCAATAACTTTCATTAATTGCACAATGGCTCATCCAAAAAGTGAAAAACTGCACAACTGGCCTAAAATGAAAATATTTTCGAAAAATATTTTCTTAAAAACCCCTAAAATAAAATATCTTCAAAAGATATTTATAAAAAACACCCCAAGAAAAGAAAATGTTTCTAAAGAACTATGCATCTATGCCCCTATGGACACCGAGAGCAACCCGATTACTTTTTTGCAAAAGTAAAGATACGTATTTCGTGGAAACCACTTAGAATGAAGGTACATGAATTCAAAAACCAACTCCGAACACAAAAAATGTGGTTATGCCAACAAAGTGACAAACGGGGAAAAGACAGAATAGGGAAAAGGACGAAAAGTGAATAGTGTCCGAAAAATGAAAATGTGGAAATGACGCAATCCTCAAAGGAAGTTGTCAATCTAAGGAAAATAGTCTCGGAAATCATTCTAGAGCACTTGAGATGACACTAAGCGATGAGAAACCGAACTCAGAAAGGAAAAGAATAACGGAAAAAAAATATCCGTGAAAATCTGAGAAAATGAAAGGAAGGAAAATGACCAGGTCATTACAACCTACCCTCCTTAAAGGGATTTCGTCCCCGAAATCCAGGACAGACAAAGGAGAACCGATAAAGATCGAAGCAAGATCAAACCAAAGGACACACCATAAGGTGCGAAAAGACAACTTCAAAAGCCTGAAGGTCTTCCGAAGGAACACAAAAAACCAAGAACTAAGTGACACTCCCCAAACGCATTGGCA